CCACTGTCCCTCCTCTGGACATGTCCAAACCACTGTCCCTCCTCTGGGCATGACCAAACCACTGTCCCTCCTCTACTGTCCCTCCTCTGGACATGTCCAAACCACTGTCCCTCCTCTACTGTCCCTCCTCTGGACATGTCCAAACCACTGTCCCTCCTCTGGACATGTCCAAATCACTGTCCCTCTTCTGGACATGTCCAAACCACTGTCCCTCCTCTGGACATGACCAAACCACTGTCCCTCCTCTACTGTCCTTCCTCTGGACATGTCCAAACCACTGTCCCTCCTCTGGACATGACCAAACCACTATCCCTCCTGTGGACATGACCAAACCACTGTCCCTCTTCTGGGCATGTCCATTCCAATGTCCCTCCTCTGGACATGACCAAACCACTGTCCCTCCTCTTCTGTCCCTCCTCTGGACATGTCCAAACCACTGTCCCTCCTCTGGACATGACCTAACCACTGTCCCTCCTCTACTGTCCCTCCTCTGGACATGTCCAAACCACTGTCCCTCCTCTACTGTCCCTCCTCTGGACATGTCCATTCCACTGTCCCTCCTCTGGACATGACCAAACCACTATCCCTCCTCTGGACATGACCAAATCACTGTCCCTCCTCTACTGTCCCTCCTCTGGACATGTCCAAACCACTGTCCCTCCTCTACTGTCCCTCCTCTGGACATGTCTAAACCACTGTCCCTCCTCTGGACATGTCCAAATCACTGTCCCTCTTCTGGACATGTCCAAACCACTGTCCCTCCTCTGGACATGACCAAACCACTGTCCCTCCTCTACTGTCCTTCCTCTGGACATGTCCAAACCACTGTCCCTCCTCTGGACATGTCCAAACCACTGTCCCTCCTCTGGACATGTCCAAACCATCTCAGTGTGTCCTCTCTAACTTCATCTCCCAGGTGTTCAACCTGTGCTGTACCTCTGATGATCTCATTCCTGATCTTCTCCATCCTTGTCTCTCCTAAGGAGAACCTCAACATCTTAATTTCTGACACTTCCAGTTCTGTCTCCTGTCTTTTTGTCCATGTCTCTGTCTCCAAACCATACAAGATAGCTGGTCTCACTGCTGTCCTCCTGTCGTATAATTTTTTTAAATGTTGTGGTTGTTGTTGTTGCTCCTGGTCCATTTTCATCTGGTTCTTCTCTCCTCAGGCCGTCCTGGAGAGCAAGTGGCCTTCGACCAATCAGGGAGGCCGTCTCCGCTGGGTCAAGCTGAGGAACGTCCTATTGGCTGTGGCTCAGTTCAGACGACCAATCAGACGGCGGCAGAAGAGCGACTCTGTGGGCTCCAGAGCAGGTCTGAACCTCTGCGGCTCCATTAGGTCTCATGGTGACCTCGGTCCAAACCTCTGGTCTTAAAGACTGCTGTCTTCTGGTTCTGTTGAAGACGTGGTGACGGATCCGGACATGAAGCTCCGCCCACACCTGATCCGTCAGTCCAGTTGGACCGGTCTGAGCCAGAGTTCCAGTCATGAGTCTCTGACTGGGTCTCTGATTAAGAGCAGCAGCCTGAGCAGCATGAAGATGCCCAGAGACGGTAAGACCTCAAAGTCCTCAAGACCCTGAGGTCCTCATCCTCAGGACCTCAGAGTCCTAATGGACCTCAGAGTCCTGATGAACCTCAGAGTCCTGATGAACCTCAGAGTCCTGATTTGATCACAGCATCCAGATGGACCACAGGGTCCTGATGGACCTCAGAGTCCTGATTTAACCACAGCATCCAGATGGACCACAGAGTCCAGATGGACCACAGAGTCCTGATGTACCACAGGGTCCTGATGGACCTCAGAGTCCTGATTTGACCACAGTATCCAGATGGACCACAGAGTCCTGATGGACCACAAAGTCTTGATGGACCTGGACTCTGACCTCTTCTCCTCTTCCACCCCTCCAGATGTTCGACCTTGTAGGAGGACTGTCCTCCCTGATGCCAAGATGAATGGTTGTGGAGATCCCGTCTCTCAGAAACCTCCTCTGGGACAGCGAAATGTCTCCGCCCCTCCTCTGGTGCCCCTCTGTGGGGTGGTGGTCCCCCGAAGTCAGGTCTGCCTGTCCACCTTCTACTCAGAGTGTGCCGAGTCTGCGGACTCAGAACTGGACTGCAGCTACCCACCTGAGGACAGAGACGGCAGGTCGGTGTCTTTCTTTGGTTCTGCTCTTCTTACTGGTTCGATCCAACTGACCCAATCGGACCTCTAACTCCAGGTCTGAGAGGGTGACAGACTCCGCCCACAGGAACCCCAGGTCTGAGAGGGTGACAGACTCCGCCCACAGGAACAAGACTGTAGACGAGAACTCCAACAACGTGTCGTCTCCGAGCCGAGGAGGTCTGACAGGAAAACTGCAGCAGCTCCTCACGCCCACCAGACTCCGAGCGTCGTCACGCAGAGCAGTCAGCATGGACAACCGGAGGTCAGGAGGAGCAGGAGGAGGAGGGACAGGAAGAAGAATATCAGAGCAGAGGCAGTCCAGGAAATCTCAAGTGACCGAAACTCTGCTGAAAGCCAAGGAGCGCCTGGCGAACGCCACGTCCGAGGTGAGCTGAACACTGATGAGCTTTCAGAACCGGTCCCATCTGACTGGCTAAAAAGTTCTGAAGCTCAAAGGTACTCAAAGGTACTCTTGGTTGTTACCATGTTTCATAGAAGCTGCCATTTAGTGTGAAGCCCCGCCTACTCTCCTGCACGCCGTCATGGTGTCACATGACCTTTTCTGATACATGAAATAACTTGTTACAGCTAAACGTGTTACAATCGACCGCAAGAACCTGAAGGAGTTGGAAGACCAAGTCTGAAAACGTTCTTCAGTGGAGGGGCGGGGCTTAAAAACTGCACTCTGTGGCTTCAACTTCCAGTTTCTGGTCCTGTCTCTAAGATTTCTCAGGCTGTGGTAAACAGGAAGTGATGCGTCAAACAGAAAGGTTAGACTCCTGAATAATCCACTTCCTGTCGTGTGTCCTCAGAGCTCTCTGTCTGTAGGAAGTGACCTGGACCTGTCGGACACGCCCACTCAAGCGTTCCCTCTGCGCAGGTCATGGGACTCCAACCAAGACGCGGCAGGGATTGAGGTAAATGGTCGTTGTGATGGATGGGGGCGGTTCTTTGCCGACCCAGTTGCCGGTACAGCTGTGGTTCCGTGTGTGCAGGTTCTGATGTCCAGCTGCTCGCTGTGCCGCAGCTGCAACTCTTTGGTTTACGACGAGGAGATCATGGCGGGCTGGACGTCAGACGACTCCAACCTGAACTCGTCCTGCCCGTTCTGCGGCGCCTCCTTCGTGCCGTTCCTGAACGCAGAGATCTGCGACCTCGGACCCGTCAGCAGGTAGGAGCCCGGACCAGAACTCAAATGGACTTGGTTCTGTTGGACCTGATGACCTGCTCCCTCTCAGTGCGGAGCGCTGTAACCTGAACCTGGAGGATGAGGTGGAGAGTGCCGTGAGGCCCCCCAGTGGTCCGCAGGCCCCCCTGCGGCACCACTGCAACGGACTGAGCGACGACTCGAGCTCCGAGACCAGCAGCTACTCTGAAACCAGCAGAACCACCACGGTACTGGTCTCATATACGCCTACCCCACTCTTTCTGTTCATGACACGCTAACAGGCTCCGCCATCTTTGTCAGGTGCCGTCAGTGGGCGGGACTCCCCAGGTGACGGTGGCCTACCTGAGCCCTCTGGTTCTGAGGAAGGAGCTGGAGAGTCTTCTGCAGAACGATGGCGAGGCGGTTCTGGCCCAGCCTCAGTTCCTGGACAGCCACTCCATAATCTTCTGGAACCTGGTCTGGTTCTTCCAGCGGCTCGGCCTGCCCAGTAACCTGCTGCAGCTGGTCCGAAACTCTGCGCTGGTCAGCCACTTCACACAGGTGGGTCGGGTTCTGGTTCTGCATCAAGCTAAAGTTTGGATTCATTGTATCCAGCTGTGGTTCTGTTGGTCCTGATCCAAACCCCTGATCCAGTCCTGATCTGGTCCTGATCCAAACCCCTGATCCAGTCCTGATCTGGTCCTGATCCAAACTCCTGATCCAGTCCTGATCCAAACCCCTGATACAGTCCTGATACAGTCCTGATCTGGTCCTGATCTAAACCCCTGATCCAGTCCTGATTCAAACCCCTCATCCAGACATGATCCAAACCCCTGATC